ATCCTTTTTTTTTTTTTTTTTTTACAAACCTTTACATTACTGTTAGTTGTCACTGATCCGGTTGAGGAAACACAGACAAACTAATCAAATTGTGGCAATTTTTTTTCATCAGGTGTCTCAAACCCATCTTGAACTTTTATCAGTTTAGTTTCTTGAAATATCACCACAGCTGTATTTAGACACCTGCAAGAAGCTCCAGTTATTATGAAACATAACTATTATTGAAATACTCTAGGTCAAAAATAAAATAAAATGGTCACTCAGAACAAAACCACGCAGCTTAATGTAGAAATTTAGTGAGACTGTAGCTGAAAATTTGTCTGTTTTTTCCCAATTTTACRTTGCCAACCAGTCTGAGTGAAATACTGACGTTAGCTCTTCAGTCCAATCAAAAGACTTCTGTTATTCAAAGAGCAACAYGTTAGATTAGACGTATTTTACAACATGTATTGTTCATATCCTTTCCACAGAAGCCCACTTTAGAAGTTTGATCCCTTTAATGTGACCGTATCACCTTTGTTCCTTCTTCTTCTCGCCACCAGGAATGCTACAGTCCCTTCGTGAATGGCAGCTTCTTCGAACACGAGGGCAAGCCGCTGTGTGAGGCGCACTACCACCAGTCCCGCGGCAGCATGTGCCAGGCCTGCCAGCAGCCCATTCTAGGCCGCTGCGTCACCGCCATGGGGGCCAAGTTTCACCCCCACCACCTCGTGTGCCACTTCTGCCTGAAGCCGCTGAGCAAAGGCTGCTTCAAGGAGCAAGAGAGCAAACCGTACTGCCACCCCTGCTTCATCAAACTGTTCGGTTGAACGCACCGCTCACAGATTTGCCCCAAAATTATTATTATTTTTTTTCACAATACTTTTTCTAATTCAGTCCAAAGGGGAGGATGGAGCAGGTCTCTGTTTGCTGCTTTAAAGAACCGAGGAAGAAAGGAAAGAATAGTCCAAAGTGTTTATTAGGAAAAAAATGATGCCAAATATTTTCCCTTGTATGTAAATATTTTACATATGAATTCAGAYTGAACACAGAGTTATTTTGCCAAAGAAAGAAAAGAAACAGGAAAATGTTTTGTTTCTATTAAAAAAATGTACCCCCCTCCCCAAGGAAGAAAAAAAACATTTTAATATATTTGCTTTTTTATACTCCAAATACACATTTCACTGCTTTAAATTTATATAATGTTTGCTAATGGCTGTATATGTTTATACAGTATTAATTACCACATGTTTAAAGCCTGATATTTGGTATTATTCTTTATCTATGGCTTTTTTCAAAATGCTCAAAAAACACTTCTACAGAATAAAGATGAAAACTTTTTCTGCTGTTTTGTGGTTTAATGTTTGATATAAAACTGGAAGAAAACAAAACTGATGACTGCTTAGTTTTAAAAGTGCCTGTGACGTCAAAGTTTCATGATAAATACAAATGAATTTCTGAAAAGATAACATTAATAACATTCCAAAAATAATAATAAATTCACATCACTGAGATAAAGCGTTGAAATAACAGGAAGTGATGTCATCAGAAATGAAAATTCAATTCAAAAATACTTTATTGATCCCATAGGGGAAAAAGGTCAGCGTTCAAATGTTTCAACAAGTAATTGGGAGTTTCCTTTTTAAAGAGTTGTCATCCCTTCCTGTTTCWCTTTGGCCATGCCCAGTTCAACAAATAAATGTCACTTTATGTGACAAAATGGATTAAAAAAACATGTATCAGGATATTTCTTAAATGCTTATTATATTTTCCCACAAACTCAGAAGCTAAGCTGAAAGCTATGTTTTTGTTTTGTGCGTCATTATTCAAGCTCCCCCATGCTATAAACAGCATCTGACCAGAAAACACTATTCGATAACAAAAACCTCATAAAATTGGAGAATGTTAATCAAAATAAAACACAGGTAAACCATTTAAATTAACCACAGATGCAATTTCATATTTTCGAAATAATCTCGTGTAATTATGACCTTTGGCCACCAGAGGTCACTATTTACTGTCATACACTTAAATATGTCGATTACTTCTATAGAAGCTTCTTGAACTGTGTTGTGATCGTTAGGGAGCAGAGCAAAATTGAAGTTTGTTTATTTATTTCAGTCATAAATCGAAATATGAGTATAAAACAGCAATTCATCCAATACTAAAAAAAAAAAATCCAATAATAAAAAAAGATCTAAAACAATTTTTAAAACTTTTTTAGAGACAGGAAAACCCTTGTCAAACGCTCAAGGAGGTTACGTCACGAGGTTCAGGTGAGCTGAGAGCTGCGCGCTGACGTGACCACGCCCCTCGCCTCACAGKTGTGTTCAATTAGGAGTTAATGAGCATCTTTCTCCGGCTGACCAGAGAAAGCAGGTAGTTTTACATGGAAAGTCACCGCGTGCTTTGGGCTTCAAGCGTAATAAACCTTTCCAAAAACACGCGATGAGCGATTCAGAACAGCAACAAGTAAGTCAGCATGATGTGATTTTAATTTGTGAAATATAATTCATATGAGCAAAAGGCTTGAATAAATCAGTGCATGTGCTTTTTTTAAAATCATAGAATAAGCAGTTTCATGAGTGCTTTTTTTTAATTTATTTATTTGACCATTTTTACAGGAAGCAGAAAATGTTAGTGAGAGTCCACCCTGGCCTGAGAATGGAGAAGCGTGGACTGATGAAGAGACTGAGAGCAGCATGGAGCTGCTGCAGGCCATGGCTGAGGAGGACGAGGACATAAATGTCTACAACGATGAGACATTTGGGATGGGTCTGTACACACTGCTATTTATTGGTGCTTTTGAGCCAAAACAGGAAAWATGGCTGATGTTTAGAGCTTTGTGCTCTACCAGTGGTTCCCAAAAAATGGGGTTGGAAAAATGTGGATCCTGAAACATCAAGTTGGGGTCTTGAAAGGATTTTCGGAATAAGTTTACGTTGGYCCACACATTGTGTAATATTTCATCCACATCAGAATGCAATAGGTAATGTAAAAATATCTCACAAACCACTTATTTGTTTTTAATTTCCAGTAAATAAAGATGTGTTAAAATGATTAAAAACAGTGGAATTACCTGTGGATAAAAAGTTGTGTAGGTATGTGACAAAACGAAGAAAATGCCAACTTTGTTTAAAATTGAGAAATAAAGGAAGTTATGCAATTTAATTTTAATAAGAGGCAACTTTCCCAGAATGACCCCATCAGATGTGGACTTTTTAAAAATCCTCGAGTGTCAACAGATTTTTATGAAAGTTGCTCAGGTTGTAGAAAAGTTTTTGTAGTGAAATATATTTTAGTTTTTTTTTTTTTTTTTTAATGAATGTCTGCAGTGTGATCTTTTGATTGCTGGAATCTCAAAAATGCACCAGCTCACCCAGTGATGGAGGATTGTCACTTGGTTCAGAAAGCTGTTCAACGTTATTCAGTCATTTAAGATCTAAATGTCAGAATTTAACCTGGAATAAGAGATCCTGTTCAGAGATAAAAGCTGAAACTTTTGTCTGCCTCACAGATCTTGACCCACGTGGGGCGGCAGAATCCCTTGGGTGCGGCAGCGGTCTGTTTGGAGAACTGTTGCCCGAAACGCCGCCACAGCTACCAGGTGCCAGCCTCCCGTCCCTCCCCAGCCCCCCCTCACCCCCTCCCATACGGAAGCCTGAGTTTGTGCTCAGGGCTGCTCCGTGGCAGCGAGGCAGGGGCCGAGGCCGGAGGGGGGGACTGGATCGGGGCCAGATGTTTGAGGACCCAGCGGTGATGAGGATAGTGGAGGGYCGTCCGAGCCTCATGGTGACGATCGTTCAGTTTCATATAGATGAGTCAGCTGGTTGTGACCGGGTTTAATCTTTGTTTTTGTTTTTGAAGAGTCTCGACAGTGCTATAGTGGACTGTGGGCATGCCTTGTACCGGAACACCTTTGATCATGATGTAAGTACGAATTTTAAATGATTTATTAGTTTCTTTTTATCTGCTACTTGGTGTGCTGCTTTGATCTCTTTCAACTGTTTTGTTTTATTTGTAGAGGATGACATCTTACAGAAAAAACAGAGTCTCRGGATCAATACTTCAGGTTAAAAGATCAGCATGTTATGTGATTTATTTTATTTTTTTTATTTTCCCCTAAAATCTTGGGTCTTGTATTAATTGTAGGACAGTGCCATAGTGTGTGTGATCGGTCACAGAGGCAGAGGTCAGCACATGAACCCCAGTTTCCTGGATTTACCATATCCCATTTCCTCCTACGGGGGCAGGAGAGGGGATCCCAGAGGGTCCTTTACCAGAAGGCAGTTTCATCAAAGAGGTCCCTCTCAGGTGGAAAACTTYTTCTGACATTGTAACATTTTATTTTGAGGAATGTTGTTCTTCACACAAATGACTTTGAGAAGAGTTCAAATCATTTGAGAGGATGAATAAAGAGGTTATACACACACACACACACACACACACACACACACACACACACACACACACACAACAGGACCAGGAAAAGATGAGGGACAGATGAAATTTGTTTTTTGAATAAGAAAATAAAAAATATTGGAGTTATTTACCACTAAAGTTAAATATTTGCTTTGTCATGTTTTACAAGTCATACTTAGGTGAAACAGGAACCTTTTCTCTTTTGAGCTATTTCTTTTTTGGAAAATCCTTATGAGGGTCACGTTCTTTGTAAATGCATGATGCTACAGTTATAAACTGATAAAGCTACAGTTGTCACTTACTTGGTGCACTTTTGCAAACATTTGTAAAACTCTGTAGATTTTTTTTGACAGTTGCAGACTTTTAAGAACACACCTCCAAAAATAAAGCATTTATTTTAAATGTGAAGCTTTGAGTAAATTAACCAGTGAGCTGCAAGATTTTTCAAGAATCTTCCTTTTTTGTTTAAACATAACTGTAGACTTAAAATAGAATTCTGTATGATTTTTTTTTTAATATAGTTAAAATGAGTAAAATGTAGAAGTGACACAATCTTAACATCTAAAGCATGTAAACATGGGTGTAAAGTGAAATAATTGAAGATTAAGTCATGATATCACTTCATCATGCTCTCCTGAGCAGCACATTGATGACAGTTGAAAGGAAAATCTGCCTTGAACTGGAAGAAACTTCCAGCATAAACGGGCTCAGGACTGGTGGCCATCTGCCTCGACCAGCTGGGTTTTGGACAGGAAAAAGACAGAAACACAGGACTGGTCCAGGGGTATTTTCCTCTGGAAGAGACAAAACCATGTTGATAGAAATAACTGTTACATGTAAAGGAGAGTGACCACATTTCCTCACTCTGCTGCTGTCTTTAGTCAGTTTGTCCTCCAGCAGCAGAACTAAGGAGTAACTCAGAAAACCAACACTGATGCACATTTGTACAATTACCTGAGACATTTGTTGTGACTTGGCTTTATATAAATAAATTCAATTAAATATTCAATTCAAACAAAAGTTATTTAATTTTTCTTTAGCTTTGCATTTATCTTGCAGATCCATGCACCTGTGATGCCAGGATCGCCCATTTTTTCCCATCAGCCACTGACCCCACGACATTTTAACCAGGTTTATTTCTTAATCTTATCTAGAGAAATCTGTTTATTCTCCATTTGTAACTCATCTGTTCTGCTGAATCAGACAGCGAGCTTCAGGTTTCCTCCAAACCACACTTGTCCCTCCACTCCTCTGGCTCCCAAGAGCATGCAGCTTCGCTTTGGTGCCAACTCGCCGAGACCCTCCTCTTTCTACAGCCCCTCGCTCAACTCAGTGGAGCCTATTGGGTGGGTTGTTGCATCTGTTTTTTTTTTTTTTTACCTGGGAGATCTGCCAAAGTTTTTTWTTTTTTTGGGGGGGGGGGGGGGATTCTTGATCACCCAAGTAGATTTGTTAACATAGGTTACATTAATTTGCATTTATATGGTAGTAAAAAATCATCAAATGTCTGCATTAAAAAAAAAATTAAAAGTAATTTACTGTACGTTTATGTTGGAGTGTCTTAACTTAGACTTAAGTTAAAACATAGACATTGTCTTAACTTTATGCTATAAAATGTCTGAAGTTGATGTAGCTTAACAAGCCGAGAGGCAACACAGTTCAGATTTTTTTCAAAATCTTCTGTACAATTTTTGGAGTCTTGTCCGTGGGGAAAATATTCAATCTTTTTGTACCCAACAGGTACCCTGGTCCCGTCACACAGCTTCATCCTCAACATAAGCGACTACTCGGTCAAAAACAACGGTTACTCCAAAGGTGGGCACTACATCAAGAGAAATTTGTACATTTATTTTCTCCCCCTCAACAGCGGTTGGTGATGGGTTAATTTAAATCCTGTTTGTAGAAAGTCTGAGGGCTGGGACCCATACTGTCATCTTATGACGATTAAAGAAAAGGAGTGGATCACCCGGCTGCTGATGATTCAGCTGCAGAGTGAGAATCCCTACCTGGAGGATTACTATTATCAGGTAGATTAATGGTGGTATTGGATTTAAACAAACAAATAAAAACGGTACGTTTACTTCCAAAGGTTTGAAAATGAAAAAAAATGAAATGTTGGTTTTACTTAACCATGTTATGTCAGCTGGTTCCACTTAACTGAGTTGATTTGAAAGCAATATACCAGTTTTTTAAACCAAAGAACATAAGTATGCTTTAAAGTAGATTTATACTTCCAAAAGTTCACACAAATTCCATGATGTCGGCTTTATATAGATTTGTTTTTATGGAATATTTTACTTAAAAACATGTTATAAATATATCAGGAAAATAAATTTCGAACAACTTTAAGATATTTGCAAGGAAAACAATTGAACAGTTCATTATTGTATTCATTATTCTGTTCATTATAGTAAATGAAACTTGGTGACTGATTAGTTTTGTATCCTGTCTTTATTTATTTTGTGTATTAATCTGTGACCTTTATTTTTATATTTGTATTTATTTTTTATTGTGTAGTTATTGTTTTGAATTTATGTGAACTACTGCATGTGTGTTTTGTGTGTACCCCAGGAAGAGTAGTTGCAAAAACTGCAACTAATGGGTATCCAAATAAAAAAAAAAAAAAGTGGAACCAGTTGACATAACATGGTTTAATAAATCCAACATTTTATTTTTAAGAGTGTGCTTTTAAAGAAATTAGGTGGCTTTGGCAAGGTGATATTTATTTTTAATTTTATTTTTTCAAACTGTGCTTTTAAGTATTGAGGTGGTTCAGTTTTTAAACTCTCCAACAGGAGTATTATCGCCGAATAGAAGCAAAGTTGGCCGAGGAGGAGCTCGGCATCAGGAGCAAGAAGGAGCCACCGAAGCTCACAACACCTTACATCACAAAAGTGGATGCCTACACACCAGGTTTCTTTTATGCTACTGAATCATATTTATTTAGTTGTTTGTGTAGCTAAAATGAACTTTTAAGTACAGATTTTGGAAGAAACTCAATTTTTTTTTAATGTAGTATCCTGTACTACACTGCTCCAGATTTTCTTAATTATAAATGTTTTTGTTTTCAGTGGTTCACATTGAAGGGTCTTTAGGCCAAGTTGCTGTATCCACGTGTTATTCTCCTCGTCGCGCCATCAGTGCAGTTCATGCAGTCCAAGCCCAGTGTCCGATCGAGGTCAGGCTTCTACTCTGCATCATCTATAGTTTATTAACCTGATCCTGCGTTTAAATTTTTTTTTTTCCTCAGGAACAGAAAGATACAAGACAACAACGATTAGAAGTTCTCAACAAAATAGAAAAGGTTCCTGCTTGATACTTGGATTTAATTTTTTTTTAAATGCAACCTTCAGAGCATCATTCTTTCCCTTCTTGCAGTTGTTCATAGTTTTGCTGGAAGTGGAGGAAACCGAGAGGATGAAAACCACAGTTTCTTCTGAAGCAGAAGAGAGAAGGTTGAGGGAGAAAAGCCAGAGGAAAGTGGAGTGCATCTACTCACAGCTGCAGCACCACAACTCTCCGTGAGTTTCTTTCTTTTTTTTTGTACAATTATCAAGTGCCATGTTGAACTGTAATAGTTTCAGTAAGTTCTACACTATAATTATCTTCTGAGCGGAAACATTAAATGCTAACTGTATATTTGATTCTTAATGTAGTGATTCAGGAGTGGAGTTTCTTCCTTTCCTGATCGTCTCAAAGGGCAAAAGGCTTCTCTCTCGTCTGCTCCCGTTTCTGAAACACGATGCAGCAGTAAAAATCCTGCACACTGTGACCTGCAACCTTCCAACACTGATGAGCAGAGACACAGAGGAGGTACGTCAGGTGTAAACGCTTAAGTGTAGAAAGTCTAAGTAACTTTATTTTCATATTTCCTATTATAATCTCTAAATGTACTCATTGAAAACACTTTTACAAAATTACTGGAAAGTTAGAATTTTTTTTAGTTTTCATCTAWATTTACCTGAGATCAAATATTTTGGTTTGAAATGATCAGAATTAATCTCTTCTGCATTCTAACATCATGTTCAGGCCCTTCCGGTCCTCTACCCACCCCTGCGAAACGTGATCAGTGGTCTGACGTTCAGTCAGCTCATTAATGTTCTCAAAGATCTGACTTCTTCAGAGTCTCTGTCAACATACGAGTGCCTCTCGCTGGCGTGTCAGAACAAGGTTTGTGTCCTGCGCTGTTAAACAGATCATTATTCAGTCACTTTTTTGCCTAGGGTTCTTTGTGACATTTGTTCTTTCCATGTTTTTGTTTTAGTTTGGACTGACCTTGCTGTATGCTCTTCTATCACATGGAGAGAAGTTGCTGTCCTCAGGTGTTCCTCTTGAGCCCAGCATTGGTGACTTTGAGACCTGGTAGGACTACTTTGACAAATCAATCATTATGGCTGTGTGCATTTTGAGGAGACTGTCATCTAGCTGAGAAATGTACATATTTTAATATAATTGATACTAAAATATTGATTAAATTTTTGATACTGCGCAGCCTTATTTCAATAACTGCAACAGCTTTCATTTGCAAGACTGCAAAATGAGTCTCTTTCAGATAATGTTGGCAATCACTAACCGTGAAATCCAACAGTTTGCCTGACAGTTCATCTGGACACTTGAGTCTCAAAGCAAAACTACAGTTTTAATTTAAGCTGTTTGCTCAGAAGCTGCACCTGTCAAATTAAATAGATGAGGGAGTTGAAGCCAAATACCTGAGAGTTCTAGTTTTATTTAAAGTTGAGATGATCTGAACTTTCTGAATTGTGTATTTTTTAGGACGGACATAATATTTCAGGTGGCGGGACAGCTCTCCCAGTGCTCACTGGTGGAGCCACTCCTGCTTCCCTCCAACCTGCTGACACTCTTCTGTCGATACCTGGACAAGCGTACCGTGCATCAGCTGAGAAGCAACATGGAGTAAGTCCTGTGCTTTAACAATGGTTCATTATAGATGCATAAAATTATATCAAAATCTCTCTTATTCAGGTCTGCAACTGGGTTCCTGGCTCTGCCATCCTGAGATGGTAGCCTATGAAAGTTCAACTAAAGACCAGGGGTTTTGAACACAGGAGTGAAATAAGGCCAGGTCCTCATAAAATACCCCAACCTCTTTTGGTTCTGATTACTTGCCCTCACCCGTCCCTTCACATTTTTGCACCTCAAACTGTTTCCCTTTTTATTTTCCTTTAATCGTTTTACTTTCCTCAGTTTGGTCTCCACTTGGCTACGTCATTATTTATTCTGTGTGAATTAATTTTCTAAGATAAACTTCCACTTCCCACATTCACCTTCATTTCATTGCTCTTGAAATTTCAGGATTAATCAATTAAAGATGTCTGATCAGAGAAGATCAGGTGGATTATTTAAGACTGTACAGCTGATGCTATTAATTAATACTGAAGGAAGTTGTCTTGACCCAACATTAAGTAATTTCATTTTATTTTGGGTTAGTTTGTAAAAAGGTATGTATTGTTTATACATGTGTAATTAAGATCTTTTTGATGTATTTTTCAATCTTAAAGGTTTCAGTTGTAAAAAGTTTTTGTTTTATTGTATTAATTTGGAAACGGATCATTTAATCTGCACCCTTGTACAGCACTTGCATCATGAATAAAAAACATTTGATCAAAGATTTGATAAAGTGCAGAAAAAGCCTCTTGGTCCACCCCCCCCCCACACACACACCCAAAGTATAAATCATGTTTTACTTCACAGCAAAATAAGATGCAATATTGAAGCATAATCCTGAAGTAAATGCTCCCATCTGTTACCTGAGTGTGACAGTTTGATGAATCCAGAGCACCTGGGGGAGGCAGGATGGTGAAACTCCAAACGGACTCGTCCCCGTTTRTTTAGGAGCCAAGTATGTGAGAGGTCTGGAAGGGACTTTAACCTCTGCTTGACCCCATAAGAACAGGATTTGGACTTTAAGTGAGGAATCTGTGTGAACGGTGAGAGATCTTCTCTTCTGACTCAGTTTTGTATTTGAGGCCGCCTAAACGCTTGTGTGTAATTCATCACTCTGGAAATGTCGTCTGAGAGAGGCTTGACCCCTTTTAGATTTTAGTTTTACTTTTTGAAGAACTGCTATTCATTAGATTTAGTCAATTTATGAAGTCCACCCCCCACCCCAGATTCTTTTAGTCAATGCTGCATATTTAATGTAGAAATTGTGAAACAATTAAATTTTAAATGTAGTTATTTGACAAACTTTATGAAACATTCAGTGCAGCTATAAGTGAAGGTAACACTAAACTAGATTCTAGTAACACTGACAGGATAAAAGTGCATCAAGTATCTGAGAAGTGAGGTAAAAACATTTTTCTGTAAATGAAAATGCGATCTATAAAAACAGGTGTGCRCCATCCTGGTTAAACAGTTTGATATAAAAATTAGTCTCAACGTAAAACTTTTTTTACAACTAAACTGAAAATATCTGTTGTGAGGAAGATGCAACAAGCTGGTCGCATAAGTGTGAACACCCTTTAGTTTACTCACATTCTGGTGAAATTAAGTGTTTTACCATCAGGCCTGATATTATTGTGTAGACTTTTATTTATGTTTTCACTGTACCAGTCTGGCTTTAAATTGTGTCCAAATCTTTGAGGATCATTATTGAATCACAGATGTTTCTACAGAGTTTTTATTCTGCCCAGAACTTATCATTTAGTGAGCTCCCTCTATGTGTTTTAATCGACTTAGTGTTTCCCTTCAGTGGGTTTATAATTTAGCTTTGTCTCTAAACAAGCAGGAAGGAGGATCTGGATGCCACAAACTTGCCACAGAGGAWGTAAAAGGAGGGACTCCTCAACAGAGCGTATATTAGACCCTAACAGGGGTGAGCGTCCCACTTCAGACAACCACCTTCAACCACCCCAGTCTCCTCCTGCAGGTTCTAAACCTGTTTCACTTCCAGGTTCACCATGGCAGAACGACTCATCTTTCTGAGTGTGTTGATGCTCTGCTTAGTGCTGGCAGCACACGCAGGAGGTGAGTACAGAGCTCTGGTGGGTTAATAACAGCTCATTAATGAGGTTGACAATTTTTCCAGGGTTGTTCATTGTTGTGGCAGTCTTTGACTTGTTCTGTTTAATGAAATGATGCACCTTTTTATTGTAAGCTTTACCTTTTTTAGTTAACAGAACTTCACTCCAAAAAATGCTTTACTTGTTGGGGGTGGGGGGCATTTTACTTTTTAATTACTTTGATTAAAAAATGAGATTCCTTGCTTTGTGTTGCCTTCACTGAAATGATTGGCACTTTTGCCTTACAGGTAGTTTGAACTTCAAAAAATGAGAAATTAGAGGCCTAAACCTTCCAGAAATGTCCTTTAATTTTAAAACTAATAAATGATTCACTGATCTTCTGTAAATCTTTTTTTTTTACCCTGCAGCTTGTTTTGTATTTCTGTCAAGCTTCCAGCTGAAAAGATTATAGCGTGAGGGTGAAATGTGTTCACTTCATGTCTGTGGTTTGTTGGAGAAAAGCAGAGAGAACCTCAACTTGAGTTATGAGCTGACTTTCAGCCAAAGATGTGGTGATGTGCTTTTCCCCCCCAAAAGTAGTCAAACAAATGCATTCAGTTTTAAGATTCTGATTTCATATATTTAAAGTCTGTCTTTTTTTTTTTTTAGCAGGAATCATGAGAAACTGAAACAAATGATTACATTATAAGACTATGCAAAATCAAATAATTCATCCATTACAACAGAATAAGTCAGGGTGCTGCACTGCCTGCCTGCAGTCCAGACCTCACTTAGTGAAAACATTTTGGTTCTTCTCAAAACAAAAATCCAGTAATGACCAGGATTGTTGAACATCAGTTATGAAAAAGATATTTCCCTCTAAATCCTCTGTGGTCGTCTCTGGTCCTAAACATTCACAGACTGTTGGAGATTCAACGGTAAACATTAGGGGTGCAACAATACATGTACCCGTATCGAACAGAGCTTTAGGTTCAATACACATTTGTGTCGAACAATACAGATTTTTATAATTTACTTTATCAACTTGTCTTCTGAAGATGCTCTGTGTTGAAGGATCAGTTTGTGTTCGACTACTTCACCTAGGCTGCATTTTTGAGCGCAGATCCACTGAGAAACTTGCTGTTTCAGCAACATTCAATTTAAAAACTACTTTTGAGGTTAAACAAATGTTTATAATTAATTTAAATTAATTACAAGTCAAAAGGGGCATGGACATTTCTTTTTGTGTATCGAAAAAATATCGAACCGTGAGACTAAAGTATCGAACCGAACCGTRAATTTTCTGTATCGTTGCACCCCTAGTAAACATGGATCTGTCCCGTTTTGGAGATGTTGGTGCCATAAAATTCAAAATTAACTTTTTTCCCCCCTCCCCATAAAAATTGTTCAGTTAAGTTTTAAATGTTGTGAATAAAATCTGCATTTATATTTTACATGTCATCCTGTGGTAACTTTAAAGAAAACTGTTGATAATGGGAAAATAAAATTACTTGCTAGATTGGGAGTCAAAATATCTTWAAAAAAACAGTTTCTGAAATGAGTCCTAAATTCAAAATGCAAGTACTTTATAGTGTCTTATGAGTTTATAAGACACTTTAAAGCACTTTATTGTCTTAAACTTCTTCACTAAATCTTTGCTGCCTGCAGTCAGTCTCTTTTGGTCTAACAGGGTTTTCCTGAGGAATGAGACGAATGTCTTCCAGGTTTTCAGGTTTGCCTGTCAAATTTCAAGTGGTCGTGTTAAAACCCAAGTCCCTGCGAAGCAAGCTGTAAAGCTTTTTTTTTTTGTGAATATGTAAAGAAACTATACATTTTACCTTGTCAGCTCAGTTTGTGGAATCAAAGGCAGTTTGGCTTCATTGGCAGCAGGAGTCTAAATCTAACATCCTTCTGTGAGAAGTTTCTTGTTTACTGGTTTTACAGTCACTCCATTGACTTCTGAGTCTGTCCAAAGTAAAAACTCAACATTTAATTGGTAGAATTTATTTAGCCAAATTATGTAAACTTAAGTTTTTCTTGAAATGCAGTTTTGAATATTAAAGGACATACCATGTAAAATCCACTTTTTAGTCAAATACATTTAGTTGTGTACTTGGAATCAAGGAGTGCAGAAAAGTTGAACTTATTTCTCTGAGTTTAGTAGATATCTTGTTTTGGTTTCTTTATTTCCCTGAAATATTACTTCAAATTATTTCTGGACTTACCAACTAACCAATTTGGTGGTCTTTAACTCTGAATMAGGCTCTGATTCCAACATGTAAGGCTGGATAGACAAGTCTCCTGTTGACAGGTTTTGTTTAATTTGTAAATAAAGCTTCTGCACCGCTATATAGTTGMATCTCTGCTTTCAAACTAGAATGGGGGAACTGTGAAGCACCTAATTTGGATTTAAAGAGAGCCTCAAAACAACTTGCTACATGCAGTCATATGAAAAAGTTTGGGCAGCTTCAATTTTCCTGATTTATCTTTATAAATCATTGATTGTTTGGAAAAAAAATCAGTTAAATATATCATACAGGGGACAAAC